GAATTGCCTCTATCCTGAGGAAGTAGGACCTGGAAAGGGTCAGCAGCACACTTCAGAGGAAAGGAAGCTTTCTAAGGCTTTCAAGATGATGCCCCTTTCCCTCCTCCCATGGTCTGCCTGGGATAGGAGAGGGATGGAAAAAACATGCTGAATCCCAGACAGTTCCCAAAATGCATGGATTTGCAAAGAGTAGGAGATGATCTCTGCAAAGATCCTGGTGCCTTTACAAATAGGTGGCAGTACAGACCTCCTGGGGGGACAAACAGCTGCAACTGCTTACCAGAAACATTACCTATTGCAATGGGCAATGAAGATTAAAAGAAAGTGTGCAGACTGTATCCTTGCCATTCCTTGACATCTGAAAGGCTCCGAGGATCAAGTTCACTTTTGCTAGTCTTTCTGGACCTTTACAAGGGTCTTAGGAAATCCACTGACCTTCTTCCAGACAAGAGGGAATGCACAGGAGAACACTTCTCTCCCTGCTTCAGAAATTGTTCATTTGGCCCACCTTTGCAGGCCTCCTCAGTTCTCCAGATTTTATATTAACTGCACAATTCTTTTAACTCCGATACAACTACAGGTATTTCATGGTATTACTGTAGCCACGCACATAGGGTGCCATCACACAACTCCGCAGTGTGAAAGAGGGGTCATTGTAGGTATAGAGATAGACAGTACTTAGAGCCAGAGGAAGACTTACCTTTGGGTTTTGCTGAGCGTGTAACTGCAGTGCCACCCCTATGGCAGAAGACAGCAGGACTCCAGAGCAGATGCTCTGTGTGGCATGAAAGCCCACTGGGATGTGAAACACAGCAAATATTCGTGAGGTTTTTTTTTCAGTCCGAGTGTTTTTTTCTCCACTGAGAAGGGGGAATCAGCTCTACATAGGGCAGAGCAGTTGTCCCCAGGCAGGGCGATCTCACTCTACATGGAGGGCGGTGCTGGCCCCAGAGCAAACTGCCCCCACCTGCTGCCTCTCACCTTCACACAGCTCCTGCAGGAATAGCTCATCACCAGCCTCTCTCAACCCTTTTAGCTCCAGTGAAAATGCAGGGAGTGCATTGAGCAGCTTAAATTGCAGGTGTTTGCCATTAAAGCTCTCTTTGGTTGACAGAATGGAGGAGCCCTTGTCTGACTAGTTCAGCAAGACAGTCTGAAGGGACATCTGGAGACTTGCTGCTGAGTGCAGCCAAGTGTGGCTCTTGGAGTACAGCTGGAGCTGTAGGGCAGCTATCCTCAGCCCTACACCTTCCCATTTGCAAATCATCTTAAAGCTATCGTCACTCTAGCTTCCTGTGACAACCTCCTAGCAAGCCTGATGGATGAAGGAGGGCCCATCAGTGCAAAGTTAGCTGCTTGCATGCAGCCACCTGTGGCTTGAACTAGTCCAGCTGACTAACTGCAACAGGTTAGGAGATACTCCCCAGGTCTCCTTCTGGGCTACAGTGTGGAGAACAATAATCTCCAGTGAAGGGACCGTGATGAACAGCTGGGAATGTAAATTCTTCGGCCTGCAGAGCTGGATATGGAAAAGGATCTCTGGCTGTGAAGTATTTTTAAACATCATTATAGAGCTGTGTCAACAATTTGGGCTTGTACTGTTTTAATTATTCCAGTTAAAATTCACCCTACCCGCATATTAACACTAGCACAAACACTTTGTACGTCAGGCTTAATACTATTCAAGGTACAGGCACTTAGAGGATTAAGCACTGCCTATTTGTAAAGCACTTTGAACAGACATCACGTGTGAAATAGCCAGGTTTGGCTTAGTGGTTCCCAGGGTTTGCAAGTGGCAGGGGTGGAAGGACAGGACAAGCCCCAGCTGCATTACAGCACACTCACAGCCCATCATGGGCTCTGCCTTCCCTGCTGCCGACCAGCCGAGAGCAGGGAGAGGAAACAGCCCTGGCAGGGATGCCTGATGAAAGGTGAAAGCATTGGCTGTCTTCAGTAAGAGGATCAAGTGCTGATAAGCAGACTCCAGAGGATATGAATATAGATTTACTCCTCCCCTCTCCCACAGGGACTTCTCATTGTGGCCCCAGGCCCCTCTTACACTTCACCAGGATGATAAGGCACAGCTGAGACCCCATTAACATCATCTCTGCTTCTGAAACTGCCTGGAATACATCAGTACCAGCAAATCCCACCGACCAGAGATGAAGGAGCAGCTGTGAACGGGGTCAGCTCCTGAGCCTCCAACCCAGGCGCACACTGGTCTGCATCCACCTTGCAAACACAGCGAGGGTTTGTGGAACTGAATGACTGGAAGTACGAGCATAAAATATTCCAGTTAGGAACAAGTACGTGTGACAGGCATGAAGGCACAGAGCCCAGACTTCATTAAGGTAGTTTTTATATTTTGAAAAGCAATATTAAAAAACACTGGAAAATGCAAGATAAATGTAACAGCTGCTTCTACAAGTTTTAACCTTGTATTGCTTGGCCATTTTGACATATAAATTATTGCTTACTAGCTCTCATAAATACACAACACAATAATATGTACAGAGGCAGACAAGCATGAAATATGAAAAGGAAAACATTGGCAACATTGATTCTGGTAAGTCAGATTATTTCATACATACCAGGTCTCGTAACGGTGGATAACTACTAGCTGTAGTCCCTGAGAAGTTAGGTAAATACCTTGATTTGGGGTTTTCTATTTTCTTACTTTTAATGCAAGCTGACAGCATTATGGCACTCAGAGAGAATGGAACAGTAAGGTGTTCTTACCTCAGCTCATTGACTTCATCCCAGTATTTCTTAGTAGTGTAATAAGATGACAATAAATAGGCTATGCAAATAAATATTACTCTGCTAAAATGTTTAGTATTTACACCTTTCTTTGTAATTTTACAGCAGCACATGTCTTATTATTTCTGGGAACATCTTTTCTTTTTTTTTTTTGCCACTGTCATGCAAATGCGATTTATTTTTATCTGAGACGGGGCTGGAATCAAAAAGATGTGTCATAGAAGCACCTAAATTTGATGCAACAAAATCCCAGATCAAAGAGGTATAAAGTGACCCAGCTTTTTCTTTTGTTCTGTCTAATTACTCCTCCTAGCTACTAAGGAAAATGTGCAGAGTATTTAACCCCAGGTGTGACTGTGATAAACTGAACTTTTAAGATTCATGGATTTTATCCTATGTAACAAAATTGCGCTACTGAAGGACTTAAAAATTGCACAAAATCACCAGTGCTGGACCATGGCAGAGGCTGTGTAGTGTCCCCCTCTCTTTCACAGGGTTTATTTCTAGTTCTCCTCCCAACCACCACACCTTCAAACTGCTTGCCAGTCTGCAGGCCAGCTCTGCAATGCTTCACCTGTTGAATGAAGACTCTGATGGACCTTTTTTATTAGACATATTAGCTACAGATTTGGACTATTTGCCTTTCCTTTATGGTAACAGTTATAATATCCGTATTTTCAACATGAAGTTAATGCATCCAAGGTGGCCTCCTTCAGACCAGAAAGTTGTATCCTAATTATACAGGTCACTATGAAAACTAGTCTGTAAAATTTTAAACAGTAGTCTAAGTAGCCACAACACAGATAACGAGGTTAATGCTGGCTATGTGCCTTCATACTGAGTTTATGCCAGCTGCAAGGGGCAGACAACACTTGATTTAGTCTTAAGTCACAGTGGTGCAGTTAGCCAATACCTCAGCTGGCTTGAAGCCTAATGGTACCAGTTAACCAACCCATCCATCTACTTCAACCAGTTTAAACTGGCAGAGTGAGGAGCCTTCAAGGTGGCTCTAGCATGCTTTCAAATAGAAGTCTGAGCATAGAGTCATCTTTCTACTTCTGTTTTCGTTTTTCTTTTTTTTCCCCTTCTTTCATTTCCTTCTCTTTTATTCTTCTCTGACACCGCTGCCGCTTCATCAGCAATAATTACCAACACAGAGCTAAATGCCGTGAACTGAGAAACAAGCCCACTTTCTCACCCTGAATACCTTCTCATGCTCCCTCCTCCACAGATTTCAAGAGAACAACTTGTGGACTGGAGTGTTACACCACATGAACTAAAGCATCCAGGCTGGTCTACATAACAAGCTCCTAAAAATAATGCCACAGTAAAAAGATTTCACAAGGGGGAGCTCAAAAACCAGCAAACCACCCAGGTAATGCATCTAGGCTGGGGATTAGGCGAGTGCTGTAGCCAGAAGAACTGCAATAACACAAGCAGCAAATTGTATCTGGTTTGTCTTCTTACACTGCAAAAAGGAGCCCACTGCAGCTAGTATCCTCATCTGAACAGTTTTGGTCTGTTTGCACAGAAGAGTTATTTACAATATGTGCAGTCACATCTACAGAAGAACATAGGAAATTTTTACTCCATGGCCAGCAAGAGTTTATTTTTTGTTTCTTTTTACTGGGTAAAAAGAAGATATTTTTTTTTTCTAAAAAAAAAAAAAAATCATATAGTATTTGATAATAACAAAGTACAAGCAAATACATTTCTGAAACATCTGTTTCCTTTACAATAGATCTATACAATATTTCACAGATGGGAAAACCAAATGCATTCTACAGATTCTCCCACAGACTACTTGTTAAAGCTGTTTTTTTTTTTAATCCCTTTAAACCAGAGATAACACAACGATGAAGAGCATGCTACTTCAGTATTCCCACATTTCAGTAAAGGAGCGTTTTCTTGGAAGTCTTCCTCGTGGAAAACGTACAATAGAGATGGGAAAGCAATGCAATGTCCTCCCTGCTCTGCAAAGGGACCATTACCGTGAGTCACTGTACAAACATGTGCCAGACTGCGTAGCACACTGCGCATTGCCTGTGGCATTCACTAGATTATTTCAGGGCAACTTCTTAGCACTGAAAACCAGAGCTATGGTGATGGTGGTGCTTAGATGTAGGTCAACTGTAGAGAAGACTTTAGGAATGCTGCCTCAGTACGTGCCCAGTAGTACTTTTAGCTACATGAGAACTGGCTAGGGGAGGGGTATGAGAGGGACAGAATCAGTAAAGGGACCCTAATGCTGAGAGCCCGGTGTGTATGCAGGTAATTACACTGGTACCCAGTAAGGGGTACCCTTTTGTTCTTTAAAAACTAGAAGCATGTGCAAGTTAGGTGAAGTTTTACCTTCTGAAACAGTATTTCCACGAGGTGAGTTAGGAATGTAGGTGGATCTAGGCATTGCCTCTGAATAGACACCAAGGAGGCTGTAATCCAAGCAGAAAACAAAGCTCCTGCTATTATAATTTATAACACGTTAGCTGCAGGAGCTGGTGCTAAATCTGAGATAACTGAAAAGGAAGAAGATAACATGTTTTCAGTATACAAACAATTGTGTCCATAAATTGCAACAAAAGTGGATTGGCTCCTACAGCGTGTTTTATAAAGCCGATTGTTAAGGGGCCGTAACAGGGTGAACTGTTTACTGCTGAGCTCCACATCATGACGCACTCCTGAGTTTCATCTGGTGTGCTGTCTTTTTATATTCCCATTCCTGGTTGTCCGCACTTCTCTCAAATAAGATGCTCCAGTGGACTCAGGGGAGCTGCACGGATTGCACAGTATTTTTGGCAACAGTACTTTGGCAGCCTTGAATTAGTGAGGTACATACCGTGGTGAACTGAGCATCAACCCCCTTGCGACATGTTGCTTGCTGAAATGTTTTGCTGTTGTGACATAACATTTCTTTTCATTCTAATTCTGGCAGAATCTGCATTGAAAGCTACACTGGACCAAACAATATTTTCACAGAAACCAAGCTCCTGAGCTCAAAGGACGCTGCTCTGCTCCCTCCCATCCCGGTGACCAGCAGGGATGGCACCAAGCTTGCCCTGCAACTCTGTGAGCAGCTCCTTTGCTGGCTCTTGCCTGATTTTCCTGCGCATGTTGTGTGAGCTACTGATAAAACTCAGTAAACTGTTCTTATATAGGGAAGCAACATGCTTGGCATAAACATTCACTTAATTCAAAGTGCTGCAGTTACAAGGTTATATGAAGCTGTGTACGCTCACACTCGCGGCTCTATCCTGTGAGAAAGCTCGAACAGAGCTTGCTGGTTGTCGATGACATGCAGGTGATGGATGTATGGCTTCAGCTCATGATGCTCTTTCGAAGGAACTTCATTGCCTGCAAGACAGGAGAAAGGGGATGGATCAGAAAGCCGTGCCTTGCCTGCTTCTCTGTCCTGTGCGTTACAAAGTCCCTGGTGTGCCAGCCTGCCAGGTGCTAGACAGTCACAAAAAAGACAGCCAGCGATCCAAAGGGACTTGCTGTTTAAGTGCAATGCGTGAGGTAACAGCTAGATACAGAAAAGGGGAGAAGAAAGAAAGAAGCAGGCAACCCTGGGCAGCCAGCGTGCATAAAGGAGGGACAAGTGGATGGCGAGAAGCTGACTCTTCCCAAGGGAAAGATTTACTCCTGCTGGCAGTACAGGCAGTCCGTTCCCTGTAAGGGTGGTTCAAGGTCTCCTTTGTGCCGCTCCGGCAGCACAACGAGACCTTGCGCAGAGGCAGGCAACCCAGCCTGTAACTTTTAAACAATCCTAACACAAGTACACAAGACAGCAGGCCCCCGAATCCTTTCCTTCGGAGCAGGTGAAAGGTGACAGCACAGAAGACGGGTACGAAAGCTCTTCAAAGCTCCTCTGACAGGCCCCCGCGTTTTGATCTGCTATGCTTTTGATTTCTGATCTAGTAACAGAGACGAGAGTCATGCTGTCATTTCACGGGAGTTCACAAAGCAAGAGGAATTAGCTGTGTAACAGACAAATTGAAGGGTGGCTTGAATAGCAGATGTTTTCTGTTACAACCTTTATGCCCAACATTGGCTTGTGGGAACTCGCTGCTTGTGAAACCCTCCAGCTTGGCTGGTGGCCAGCAGCAGTAGAAAAGGAAAAGCTAAGCCCATGGCCACGAGACCCATCAAGACAGGCAGAGAAAGCAATGAGATACGTTTCCCACACATCACTGACTGCTGACAAATGAGATCTCCATTCTAGTCCATGTCCTCACGGAATTTTTAATAACATTAACATAAATTAAAAAAACCCCCGAACTCCCCAAACCAATCAGCTTAACTCGCACACTCCCTCCCTCTCCTTTGTTTCATTATCATCCTTTTCTCCATGCTCTCCAGCTACACAAGAAGCTTTCCAGGAACCAACCATCCCACTTGTTTCTGAAGGGCGCGGTATGATGCTGTGTAGGTGACGTGGGATGTCAACGCAGCCTGTTCTGCATGTGGCCGTTGACGGGGCTCCCAGGCAGCTATTTTTAGGAGCTATTTCTGAGCAGCTATCTGACTTGAGAAATGTGGGAGAGAACAGGACAATGTGATAAATTCATGTCGGGATACAGAGATGACCTTTCCGTTCTGAGGGAATAGGATCTCAGCAGCTGTGCTGAACCTACTGAAAAACATTTGTATTTCTCATTAACACCTGAAATGACAAAAGCTTGAATTATGTTATTTGTTCAGGCTGCTTTGCCTGGGTTTGGAAATGCTATTATTTCTTTTCAGGATTTAGGATATAAAAGTATTAATTCCATTAAAAAGGCATTTCTGTCCTGCTTGGAACCTGATCAGTTTCTAATCCAGAAAGACTTTGGCCTGTGAGTTTAATACACGTGATACAGTTCATGAACAATAATAATATTCCTTGCTTAGTTTTGTTTGAATTCTTTCCTACAGTGAGATGCCTGCTGCTCTTACGCCAATCTGGGAGTTGATGCAGTATAAAGATTCACATTCCTGAGAGCAAAATAAGCCCACTAGAAAAGGAAACTGTCCATAAAGTCTCAATAAATATTCAGTGAATTCATTTCATGCCTAACCGAATGTAAGAAAAAAAAAAAGTGCCTACAGGGATGTCTGTATAAGCTGCTTTTTAAATGCCAGCTTCACAATAAATCAAGTCTGTGGTAAAATAAAATAACAATCACGTACTTCAAACTACCAGATTATATGATAAATCTCAGGTATTAACCCTGGATTTATGTTGCAACACTTACAAAACCACTTGGAAAAAAAAAGGCAAAAACGAGATGAAAGATTTGCAGAGAAGCTGCAAAAAAAAAAAATCACATCATTAAAAGGAACCAACGCTACATTTTATAATGCCAAATAAGAGACATTCTAAATTACAGAGGCATGGTTTAGATTAATCAATATTTCCTTTAGTATCTGGTTTAACAGAATAAAAACAAAAGGCACCTCCTTTTCCCCCCTCCAGTCTCTCTTCTATATATATATATATGTCAAAATAAAACAAGAACCATAACAGTAAGCAGCCTTTGTTTAAAAAAATGACTGTACATACACAAGGTAATTCTATAGAACAAATATTCAGCAAAACACGTAGCAGTACCTATCATTCTCCAAGGTACATGTATTTATATGCAAAATCATTATGTTTCTTTTTGTCGGAGTCCATGCTGACAGCTGTTGAAAATTCAGCTGGAAAAAAACAATTCAAACTCTTTTTCCCCAAGGCTACAGCACAGTTCTGAACTTCTCTTTGGAAAAGAGGTCTTAGTGGCCTCAGTAAATGACATGTTTAGTGTGTTTGGCTTAAAAACTCTAACCGCTTCCTAGATTAGTGTTGTGTTTGTCCCCTTCCTGTGTTTAACCTCTCTGCAGAGAAGAAGAAATGCTGAGAAGGAGAAAAACAAGGTTTCTCCTCTATGAGCAGCAGAACAAAGCAAGCTGGGGTCTTCTGCCATGGCCCCTTAGGCTTGGATTCTCTGGTGGCTAATAAGGTGGAAACACAAAAGAAAAAGCCTTTCGTACAGCTGAGGCACTCATAACTGTTCCCATCAGCGGAGATCCTCCAGCGTCTAAACTAGGCAGAGCTCTATTTGTGGGTTTCCCCCAGCAGAGGTAGTAACACAACCCCCTCTTTTCTACCTAGCCAACTACTTCCATGAAACCCACAGGATCTTAGTACCTTCAAGACTTCTACCATTCTGTGAAATGTCCTTAAGAACCCAAACTAAGCAAACAATTGCCCTTGGTGAAAAGCCAAGTGAAAAGCTGTGGCGATGAATACCATCTTTCAGCTACTGGAAGCCAAGACAGCTGTGAATCCATTACCAAAACACACAGACTAGCGGGAGACTGAGGTAACTCGGTCATAGCTGGGAAAGTAAGAGACAGCAGCGTACGTCAGAGGCCTCCATTATTAAATGCAGCTGGCACAGATCTTACACGGTATTTTGAAGAGGTGATATTTTTTGCAGGAAAAACAAACTATAAAAAATTTGGAGGCAGTTTCTACAAACATTTTGTAAAGTAAAACTTCATCCAACTGTGGTTTCTGCTATGTTGACCTTCCAACAATGACGTTCCCTCTTGCCAATTGGTTAAATAATTGTTGACCACATTCTGCTGCTGCAGTAAATCTGAGCAAGTGGAAAGAAAGCAGAAAAAAAAAAACCTCAAGGCTGTACAAAGGCAAAATAAGTAACAAATTTTGGCTACTCACCAAACTGGTTATTTCTGCAATGTCTCAATGACCGAACAGTATCTGCAATCATGTGCTGCAAAGACAAGATATAAAATATCAGTACAAAAAACTGAGATGGATTCTGTCATTAGAAAAGCCTGAAAAAAAATCTCCTTGCCCTACACTGTACAGCAAAAAGCAACTTTAGTCAGGTAAGAAAATGAAGACAGCAGGAGGGAGACTTTGCTCTTTGTCTTAGTGATAATATATGATGAAACAGGGTTAGTCTAGAAGGTCCTTACTGGTATCACACAGATTAAATAAGAACAACTGCCTAAGAGCCCATGGAAAGCGATAATGAAAAATAGCCAAACAATTGCTTATTTTTGTTCCTGTGACTTTTATTAAACTGAAAGCCTACAGCAGGGAAGTCTTGTGGACTGGGTGGGTCTTCTGGGTCCAGCCCCTGGCTTTAGTGCATTATCCAGGCCATTCAGTAGTCTGCAACCTCTCTTTCTGTCTCCATGGGTTGTCGAATTAGACTGTAAGCCCCTTTGTGGCACAGACTACACCTTAACGTATACTTCTATAATGCCTAGCACAATCAGGCACCAGTGTCAGCTAGGCAGTTTTCTGCAGTATGATAACCAACACAAAAGTAACAGCCCACAGCCTAAATGCTGCAGAGCAAGCACCCTGACATCTCCACAGACACATACCAAAGAAGACTACACTGTAGCTATACTATTTTAAGAAAAGCTGGTGCTAACTGGGATATTGGGTTTTCATTTAGATTAAGCAGAGGAAATAAAAGGTTTAAGTTTGGTTTCTCATTCAGGCTCAGGTCTTCAACTTATGAAAACTGGAATTGTTCACTATAAATCAGTGAAGCGCGCTCATTTTCACTAGGTGTCGCCCATAAAGTTGTTGAGGCATTACTTTTTTCCTTTATTTGACTGCTTCTGTAGTATTAAAGGTGAAAACATACTGAATTTGGCAACTCTTCACCAAATCTAGTAACTAATCTAAGCAAACTGCAGTTAGCAGCAATGATATAATAGCTCATGCAAACAGCTGATGCTCTTGTCACATCTCCCTCTTAAATAATCAGAGGCGGAAAGGATTAACTGTCTTGAACAAAGTATGTTTAAGACCAGAATGAGGTAGAACGGCTCATCTCTCAACACCCAGAGAGTGGCTTACAAGGCTCCTCCACAGAAAAGCTTACCACAAGAAAAACAGCACATTTAATGGAAACTTCATACTCTTTTCATCAGTGAATCAAAATAATTTTTCTTGTTACCTGATGTACTTCATTTGCCATGAAATCATGCTGTCTCTTGTGCTGATGTCCTTGCACTGATTATAACGAAGTTCTCATGAGATATCCTAGATTTCATGGTCAATAGTGTGAGTACTGGGAGAGCTACAACTTCCACCAGTGCTGCTGCTGCAATGTTTTCTGGCTGATACCCTTTGAATCTGGCTTTTAGAAGAGAGACCCCATTATCACACACACTGTCATTCTTTGCTGTTTCTCCTTTGTAGTCAGTCAGTCAGTCAGTGTGGGGGTCCATCCAAGACTGGCTTCTGAAGGTGATGCCCTGGTGTCGGAAGGACCTCTTTGTGTAACCACTCTCTTAAAGCAAAACCCCAAATCTCCCTTCTTGAGTAGCCTAATTAGGCATTTCTCTCTGTCCATCTGCAATTCTCTGGCATCCAATTGTAATACAGAAAACCAGCCAATTCATCTGCAAAGTAAATGCTGTTTTCTGACTGTTTAAACAGGTGCTTGCATACCCTAACACACATTTCTTGTGGCCTTTCAGCCTACTGGGCTACCTAGGATCATTAGCACGCCGTTAACTGAGGACAACAAAAACCCAGGCTTGGGAGTTGCACAGATATTTGGGGGGTGGGAGTTGAGAACCTTCAGCTGCATGTATACAGTCCTTACAGCTGAAGGCACTAGGTAAGAAGGTGTCATCTAAAATGATAATGGCCACTGACCTGTATTAGTTTGCCAGAGTGTGGCTAAGATGTGTCATTGCTAAGATATGGGTGATGGCTGACTGGAGAAAAAAAAAACTGAAGAAGCCACATGTCAGTGAAGCAGCTCAGTAAATACCATGGAAATACCTTGAGATGCAACAGTATGAGACGATATTTTCATTTATTCCTTCAGATTTAGTTGAGGAAGTGATTATGGTACTAAATATTGATCAAACACTATTCTACACTAGAGTTTACCAAACATGGAATTAAATAAAACACTGCAATCCCTTGAACTTTTGCTAAAACTGGGCAATATTCCTGAGACAAAAGATAATTTCTTTTTCTTCTCTTTGCAAATTCTCTTCTTTATATTTTGAATTAACTTTGTCTTCACTGCAATCATGCCATGTCAAATCAAGTTCAGTCACAGTAGGATTGTTGTGGCCATGATGGTCTAAGAATACAAAAGAAGTAGGCATTGCAGAGAGAGATAATATCTTTTATTAAACCAACTGATGTAGTTGGAAAAAAAAATGGTTCAGACTGACGAGTCCTCCTTCAGGTCAGGTGTTTAATGCAGAAATGAAATATTTTAAAATACTGATCCAAATGGAGACACGAGAAGCTGTCTTTGCTTTGAAGTTCATAAGTAGAAATTCTATGCATTTATGGCAGTGAGTAAGTTCCTTCCCCAAAGCAATAATCTGCTATGGTAGAATAATTCTGCTCTTCTTTTTCTGCAACAGCAAATTTGCAGGTGAGGTTCAGTGGCTTGAAACCAAGCAGGAGTCAATGTCAATCCTAATTTGTCTCAGCAGAAGCCAGAAAGTGCTCAGCACAGTGTAAAACACCAAGGAAGACCTTCCTTGGGATAAAGCCCTTATAATTAGAAAAGAAGCATGAACTGATACATACATGATGATGCGTGATGCATCTTGTTAGTAAGTTCATACCCACAGACTAAACACCTTAGTGTCCAAATGAAGCTGTGTAATACACACACTGCCCGAGTTTCCGCTACACTCATATTTAAATCCCTCCTAAGCCCCAGCTTCCTAAGCTTGCACATTGCCTGCATTCATACGTACACAGGGCTCCACAGGACAGCATGTTCCTGAGGGCGTGATCTGACTAATGATCTGGAGGAAATGTCAGTTTGAACAACCCTCACCCCACCACCATCACCTCAGACTCTCCTCTCCCATTTAAAATGTCCATTATCCATTTGCATGGAAAAGGTGAAATCCTGGCTCACTGAAGTCAATTAGCGAAGCTCCCACTGCCTCTGGAGACACAATGGTGACAGCAAGGATAGGAAATCTTACCAAGCAAGCCCAGCACACATTAAACATATACATGATTAAACAACAAACAAACAAACAAACTAACAAGGTCTGGCTAAGACTGGAGCATGAATCAGATCCTACATATTCCCTAAATAAATATATGAGCCAGTGGAGGGATTTTAGTAACAATTTTCGTGCATCAAGGGCTAGTTTAATTTACATGTTAATTGGATGTACTTCCAAGAGGCAATGAAGAAGAACATGCTAATGAGTTTTATGCAAACACCTAAAGGTCAAACAGTTAATGGACTTGGGACAAGAAAACCTTTCATTAAATGCAAATCAGTGTTCTTGTAAACTCTGCAACAAGAAAAGGTATAGAAATCAAACAGAAAACACAAAAAGAAGACCTCAGGTTCAAAAGTCAAAGTCTACACCTGCTTGCAAGTTGAAAGACAACGTACATTATGATAGGATGTGAAAATAAGTTCAACATCTGGTTCATGAATAACTCCATGTTTGCACGTTCATTCTCAAACAAGTGTAAACACATGGTAAAAATAGTTGGGAACAATTCACCAGGCACAGCCATCTGGACTAACAGTCCCATAGCACATCTGGAGCAATCAGGAAGAACATTTTGGTTTCTTGATCAAATACACCAGGCCAACAAAAAAAAAAACAACAAAACAAACCCAAAAAAACAACCAAGTTTCTCTACTCCACCACTGTTCAGATATATAAACTGTGGCTTTCAGTCCTATGAAGATGTTATCGACAAAAAAATGAAATAATGCAAATTAGAGAAATCAAACCTGTCAGCAGTATCATGTCAGAGGAGATGTCATACGATGCCTCAAGTAGATGTAGCCAAATGTACAATGTCAGTAACTGCCCTTCTACATAAAGTTAGTATAGTGGTATTTACAGTCAATTTAATTCATATTTCAGGCATTATTTTCTTCATCATCTAACCTAGACCAAAACTTTTACTTTCATTTGAGATCCCTGGAATTAGCACACCAGTGGCGAGTGATAAACAAGAGAAACTTTTCTTTAGTGCCTTGAGGAAAAAAGGAAACATAATTCAGAGAAAGCTGAAGCAGAAGAACTTAACTAAGGAGAAATAGTCCACGAGGTGGTGCAAAGGAACAGATCTCACTGGGGGAGGGGGTGGAGCAGAGGAGAGGGGCAGGGGAGATAAACTGTCGGCTGTTTTATTGTTTGCTCTTTTTTACCCCTGTTTACTTCTTCCTAATTCAGCCAGAAGAAAACCTTTTAGTCTTACAAGATAAGGAGGGAAAAGGGAAGAAGAGAACATGGACCTCTTTGAAAAACAGGAAGGCCAAAATTAGCTTACCAGCTTTTCAAAATTAACAAGGTTATCCAGAAAAGTTTTATTTCCTTCGTGGATGAATGTTACATCTGAAAAAAATAAAGGAAAAGGAATTATTTTACATGGCTTTGTGGTTTAATACAAAAAAAATGACTAAACAGCAACAAAAAGAAAAAAAAAAGAGGAAAACATCCCATTAAGGATTGACACAATACCTTATAACAGTGGAACAAAAGCCTGGTACAATGATGACATGCAGAGATTATCAGATATCAACACTATGTACACATCGTAACAAGAGGATTTTCAAGTGGGAGCACAGATTTCTTATTAAACCTGGCCTGTATTACTTCTGGGGTGCATATATAGCATATAGAGGATGGCTGGGAGCAGGCAGAGGGGCATCCAGAGGGATGGCCCTGCATGGCATGCCTGCTCTCCCCACCCTGCGGCATGGAGCTGGCCACACTGCCCATGGCTGTGCCCAGGCTGGGGCTGGCCAGTCCCTGAGCCCAGAGCTCCATGGGGGCAGAGCTACCAGATGCTGGACTCCGCTCTGACACCCCTTCATCTCTCTGTGGGACACAATGACTCTGAAGTCCCCCGCAGAGACGCAGGCTACAGCAGTGGCCAGCTGGGGAGACTAAACACAAGCCACCAAACTGAAGTTCAAAGCCTTGAAATAAGCATTGTGGCTAGGGAAAAACACTTTTACACAGCGTTGTTGGAGAGAATTTGCAAAGGCAACAAAAAGGTCAGTGAGAGGAAAAGGAAAAGGTCTATATTTGGCTTCAGGAAGGGAACTGAACACACTGTAAAGAGCTGGAGAGAGGGGAGTATCAGGCGAAACAAATGTTGCTAAGTTAAGATTACAATTAAAACAGTAACTTGAGGTCATTTTCTCCATTTTTCTAATGCGTATTAGGACACAAAGCAAGACCTATCTTGGTCATGCAGTACCAAGGACATGGACAGATTCCCCATGGGGGCTGAAGCTCTGCCTCAGATAGTGCATCCTCTGGGTCACTGAAAATACTAGCAGGAGCACCCCCACCATGCCCCCCATCAGCTCTCTCCTGGATGTGCGGGTACCCAGGAGTACCAGGAGGAGACGGCACTCTTGTAATGAGACAACACTCCGATACCATTACTTCTTAAAAGTCACAGCTGTGTCTGCCAGCAGGCAAATGGCACACAGTAAACAGGCAACATCTCCCTCTAGGCAGAGATGCCAACCTCCAACCCACCAGCCTAACTCTGCATCTCAGCATTTCTCCTGTGCTCATCTCTAGGACTCTCTCTGATGCCCACTAGGTCCCCCTAGTTTCAGGGGATTTTAGGACTGGGAATCTGCAGCTGACACTGCGGGCTGCTTTGTCACACCCCATCCACATTCCTCTTCCCCCAAAACAGCCAACAGTGATTTACTTCCTTTTGATTTAAAGACTCACTCTGTGCCCGAAGGATATTTTGTAACTGCTTAGAATGGAAATGTTAATGGCTTCATATGCTGGTGGAAACCCGGGGCTGGGACTCATCAGGCAGAGCTGTGCATGAGGGGTGATGGAACGCTCCCGCGCCCCGAGGGCGGCTGGGCTGGGGTCTGCCTCGGGAGGGCAGGATGCCAGCCCGGCCACGCAGGATGCCAGCCCGGCACTCCTGAGCAAGTGGGGCAAGCATGGAATCTGCTGGGGATGCCTCCAGCACCTCTCTGCCCCTGGGCAGCATCCTAAAAATCAAGGGGAAAGGAGGGAGTGGGACCCTTTACTTTGGGGCACCCAGGGAAAGGGACATGGAAAGGACATGGCTTCAGGACACAGGCATTACTTGTCTCTATATCAATGCAGTTAAAAACTGTCCATCACTTCTAATGAAAAACTTATACTGGAAGCAGAAATTTCCACAGAGCTTTTTAAGTCAATGACAGCAATGTGTATATCTCTGAGGTGGAAGGAACAGAAATTTGCTTTGCAGCCAACAACTAAGAGTCTAGATAAATTCAGTGGAGCAGAAAATTGCATCTGAGCTGTGTTGTAAGGGTAAATCACAGTATTTTATTATATATTTGAAAAATCTGCCTGATTTTCAAAAGCTGTGTCTGTGTGCTGTAAGAGAACTCCACATTTAAATTTAATTAACTTTAAAAGGACACTCTAAAGTTATTTTTCATAATTAAAGAAAGGTTATTAATGATTTTCAGTTTTTTCTTGAAACTACTTCTGTTCCTCTTGTGTTGAAATACAGTAATTTGTTGAGTTGCTAATGATTTCTATACTATCAATGCCTATTTTGTTGGTCTTGGAAATAACGTTAATACAAACATGCTTGACATGTAATGAAGTCCTCTGTACTGTGCAATATTTTGGGAGTTAGCAACCTTGGCAACATCTCCTTATAGATCGCTGTATTGAAGAAAATTACTGTATTGTTTTGCAAATTCTCCTTGCTATCTCCAATACATTTTAGAGTCATGAATGCTGCTTACGTGCATGTTCTTATACACCATATCATAGTGCTGCGCAAACATCACTGCTACAAGTTACTTGTTTATGTTTGCAGGCAAGACACACTCAAGAACACTTAAAAAATATTGATTTTGAAGCTTTGATAATTGTATCCATCTGAATTAATGCAAACTCCTTTGATGCGTGCAAAGAGGGGAAGTGCCTGATGGCTCCCAAACTGTCACCGACTCATTTGGAGAACTGCCTTCAAACATTTTAAACTCGCAGCAGCAGCAGGTTGGAATAAACAGCCTAAAGAGAACACTTTCAGAATACAGGAATAATCAAATGAATTTGCCATGTTCAAAGACAAGGAAATTAATAATTAATGACTCCAAGACAATGGAATATTTGAAATCCCTGCCACTTAATTAGCTGCCTAGCTCACTGCATTAAGCAAGTCATTTCATTTTATTTTTGAATTTAAAAAAATTTTTTTTTTAATAATAAGATTTTTTCTTTTTGTCTCTTTCAGACCTATAAGAGACTTGACAATCCCCTCCTCAGGACAGAGAGATGGGGCAGGTCCTGCCTTCAGGATGACACCAGGTAGTTTCACCCAGCGAGGCAGGGCGAGCACATCAGACCAGCAGCGTGGCCGAGGCCGCTTGCGTGGGTGCACCCAGCGCAGCCGGGCAGCCCCGCTCAGGGGCTTGCAAGGTCTCACTTCTCCACCGAGAAGGATGTGGCCAAAGCAATGGCACACTGCTCTACCTGCGCCTGACGGGAAGCTACTGAAGTTTGAAAACCTGTGTGAAAATTGCCATCTTCCCCGTCTTAAAAGGCAGCTGTTTATCATCCAGACCAACTACTACCTTGTGGATACCACTACATGTGCCACATACTTATCATAAGGCCACTGGAAGGAAACATCACCTTACGCTTATTTTAATTAACCACAAAGAAGAAGAGCAGCCAAGCATTAGCATTACCTTTCAGAAGTAAGGGCATGAAGGGGATTTTCGGAGATTTCATTTTCTTGAATGCATCTCTGTAAGCTTTGTGATTCAGAGAAGGGTCCTACAAAACCATTTGGGTAATAAGAGAGAAAAATCAATAGGCTATAAAAAGAGCAATTCTAAATCCATTACGGGCTTATGATCTGAACATGATTTAGACATGAAAGGTTTCTTCAGGAAACCAGATAGATAAAGGTCTTCTAAGCTAGGTGTCTTACTAAAGTGAACAGGAAACGTAAACAGTGAAAGAAACAAAAGCAATTACGTTCCTCTAGATGAAGCACTGCTAAAACGGGAGTAAGCTGCAGAATAGATTCACTGGGATTGCTCTGTAATTTCCCCACAAATTTCTATTAGCAAAATCTCTTCAGTTTACTGTCTAGCACAAAATGCATCTCAGAATGTATTGCTGATTAATTTCTTCTTAAAAAAAAACAAAAAACAAACAACACAACAAACAACAAAAAAATCCCCAAAAAACTGCTCTCAGATCAATGGAGCGTACTGGACATTTTCAAAGAAACGAAGAGAGTATGTTTCAGTGGTGTTATGTAAGTAATTCAAAAAATCATCTCAATTTCCCATATAAATGAACGTTTTTGTATACCAGCTCACACACAATCTTGAAAACACATTAATTTATAAAGGACTCTAAGTACAGAAGCGTGACAACCATTAAAAGGCTGGATCTCATGTTCCCCGCGCCAGGCAGTGATCTCACCACGCACTTCCATGACAGCCAGAGGAAACACTTGTTTATTCAGCTTTGATAATGGTGACAAAGACCCTTAGCCTTGGATTTTGATTTTTTTTTTTTTTTTTTTTAAATTTCCGTTTTCCTCTTTTCCCCCTTTCTCCCCCCCGGTTTTTTG